CGCGCTGGCCAAGCACCGGCGCGTGCGCATGGGCGAGAGGCCCTTCCGCTGCCCGCTGTGCGCCAAGGCCTTCGCCCTCTCCTCGGGGCTTGTGCCGCACGCACAGGGGCGAGCAGCCACACGCCTGCCCGCTCTGCGCCAAGGCCTTCGTCTCCTCCTCGCACCTTGCCCTGCACGTGCGCTCCCACACGGGCGAGCGGCGCTACCACTGCCCCGCATGCGGGAAGCGCTTGCTGCAGTCCTCTCACCTGGCGCGCCACAGGGCCGTCCACATGGGCGAGTGGCCCTTCGGCTGCCACGACTGCGGCAAGCGCTTCGGCCGGGCCTCGCATCTCACCACCCACCGCCGGGTGCACATGGGCGAGAGGCCCTTCCGCTGCCCGCTGTGCGCCAAGGCCTTCACGCAGAAGGCCGGCCTCGTGCTCCACGTGCGCCTGCACACCGGCGGGAGGCCCTACAGGTGCGACAAGTGCGGCAAGGACTTTGCTCCTCTGCCCATCTCGTGTCGCACCGGCTCCTCGAGTCCGGCGGGAGGAACTTCAAGTGCTCGGCCTGCGGGAAGGCCTTCAAGCAGGTCTCCTCCCTGAAGCAGCACCTGAAGACCCACGAGGCGCACGAGCCCCAGCGCAGCAGGGTGCAACCGCACCAGGCTGACCCGGAGCAGCAGCAGGAGGGAGGGCAGTAAAAGTCACTAGAACGAGGACTGCTCCTGGCCCTCCTCGCTGGGCCCGCAGGAGGAAGAGTGGCCAGCTTCATCTTCCTGAAAGTAAAGGACATGCCACCGCGTGTTATTCCAGAGAGCGTTTCTGAGCAGTGCAGCACAAAATGCTTTCCTTTGGCTTAGCAAAGGGCTGCAAATCTCCCGAAGCTCCTGGCTGTCGGTGTCATGTGCCGATGCTCTGCCATCACAGAGGAATTTTGTGCTGTTCATGAGCTGTGGTGTCTTCGTTTTCCATGGACGGTGTTTTGGGGGGTAGATTTCCAAAGGTTCCCAACCAGCCAAAGCAGCTGCTTTTCCTGGGGTGGAAAAGGACATGTTGTGTTATACGTGAAAAGGAAATTAAGTTGTGAAGATTTTGTGGGAGATGTGTGTGCGGGGTGTACCTACAGAAAATGGATTTATGGGTTTTTTTTTGCCCTGGTGCCAACAGAGGTTTAAGAAATGAGCAGGAATTTATCCTGTAAAGTGTGACTTGCTTTTTAAAACACTGTAAATAGCCAGAGGATAGTGTCTCTGAGCCTTTTCCATTTTTCTCCTTTTATTGCAGCAGGAGATTTTACTTAGCATCCAGATAAACCTGTGAATGAAATGGGTTTAAGCACAGCACATTTTACAGGGAGGTTGCCAAAGAGCAGCTTTATTCCCCTCACTCAAAACTAACAGGTTAGTGTCAAAAATCTGCAATTCATCTCAATTTGAATGAGTTTAGCACTCAAAACACCAATTTGTAGTAAAGCTACAGGAATTTGTTGTTTTTAACTAAACTTTTTGGAGCCAGTTGTAATATCAAGGGAAGGATATAGGATGCCATGAAACAATTGCTATCAAATCAGAGTATTTTAAATTTATTCTGATACAGTGGGTCAGTGAGTAGTAAGGATCTTTCTAAAATACTGCCCTTATCACAGCAGTGATTCATTCGTTGTGAGCCAGCACTTTGCACCAAATTTTAGAAGCTTATGTCATTTTAGCAACAGTACTATGAAGCTGCTACAAGCCTTGATCACTTATGTCACCCAGGAAATAAAGGAATTAGTGAGCTCATTTTAAGTACATGTTCCTAGTGTTCTGTACTGAGTTCCTGACTTTTTTTTAAACTAACTGTATTTTCCTGCTTTCATGTGGAAACACACATTTTGCACTTTAAGGATATTTTTGGAAAGGCACCAGGTCTTGATTTCTATAGAGTATTCATAAGTAGATGTTTTAAGGCTGAAAAGGAATTTTCTAAAGCTTGCAATTTCAAGATACTGCTGAGTATCAGATCAGAAATCACATTAATGAATAACAAGAGCTGAATTCTATCTAATAACTAATTCACAGCTAACACAACTGCAACGAATAGCTCTGACTTTTTGCACTTCAGACTTGACTGGATGCTGTGTATGCTAAGATATAACTATTTAAGTTATACTAAATTGATGTTTATATTCTGCTGTTTAATATACTTGTAATATTTACATGGTCAGATCATATTTCAAATTAGATGTTTCTAAGCCAGAGTTTCTTGTCATGACAAATTCTGATGTAAATTTTTGCTACAGTCTTTGTTTTTTGTCCTGTGAGTGATTGTGTGATTTAGGAGGAAGCAGAACACGGGGTTTTCCTTCCAGTTCTTCTATGTCAGTGCTGTATGGGCAGAGTTTTTTGTTTTGTTTTGTTTTACTTTTTATGTATTTTGATACCTGTTACATGTTATTAAAATAATACACACTGCTATCTTTATCTCTGGTCTTTTTTTTTTTTTCTAAACTTGTCCTCCGCCTGCAATAAAACATTTGCTTACTGGAGCAAAAGGCACTTGCTGTTTTTTTTTCCTAGCATTTCTTAAGACTTACCTAACAAAGGTAACTCCAAAATAACAATTCTTCTTTAATTGGGGCATTTTTCTTTGTGAAGCCTGGGTGACAGGGGCACAGTGGTTGTTTCTCTCCTTGTAACATAGCATGTCTACACTCAACATTTTAGTGGCCAAAAAAACACAAAACAGGCCAGTCAAGGATCATTTTTATTCTTTCAATGTTGCTCCTATTTTTTTTTTCCATTTTTCCCATTTTACCCTTGTAGTTTCCTGCTCTGTCAGCTGCCTTCTCCCTGAGATTGGAGGGCTGCGCTGCTTGGGATGCAGGGCGAACTCAGAATATACATTAAAAATCAGTGCCAAAAATTTTTCAGAATGGATACATATACATATATATATATATACTCGAATGCCCTGGCTGCCACAGTGCAGTAAGTAAGGACAGACAAATCCTGTAGATATAGTATCTGCTAGGGGACAAATTCCGGTCAAGGATCACTCACAGAAACTCACAGAAACAACGTCACTTTCGAGATATGTTTTTCAGATATGTTTTCAGATATGTTTTTCGAGATATGTAAGAGCAGGATTATGTCACTTAAGCCCTTCTCAATGTTGCTGCTCCCCTGTGTGTTGCCTCTTCGGTTTTGGAGGTTAATCTGGTAAACAGGCCCCTCCTCCTGTCCTCCTTTTCTTCCTCCTGAGTTCAGTGCTGCGTTGCTGGCGAGGAGTTCTTGTCTCGACAGGGCGTTTGATATTAATGACCCCACACGCTGGTCTCTTCCTGGTGGGAGAGGCACTTGCATCGTGTTCCGTGGGTCGCCCAAAGTGCAGCGCTCCCAGGTCTATCCAGACAGGGGGGCTCTGCTGTGGAGAGGCAGAGGGCCCTGGGAGGCCAGCGAGTGCTTGGCCATGGTGGTCAGGCCTCCTGCACTGCTGGTGGTCTTGGTGCTCACGCGAAGGAAGCCCAGGTGTCTTCCTGCCTGGCCAGAAACACCCGCTCTGCTGCGCTGTCTCCAGTGCACGGCAAAGCTGCTGGGAAGTCCCAGCAACAGGGCCCCTGAGATGGTACCAGCCTTACTGCCATGAATGCACGTGCGTGTCCTGCTTCACCCCCTGCTCCTGCTCCCGTGGTAGCCAAGGGCCGAGTGAGCCGGCCTTGTGTCTCACCAGCTCTGCCAA